ATTATGAAAGATTAAGTAAATCTAAAAAGAAATTCAAATAAAAGTAGTATTGAGATACTAAAATAATAAAATAGCCCTACCCAGCAAAGGAAATCATTAATTGAGAGTAATAGACAGTCCACAAAATGAAAAAAAAAATCTTTACTAGATACGCATCTGATAGAGGATCAATTCCAGGATATACATAGAAATCAAAAAGTAGGCTGGGCGGTGGTGGCGCACGCCTTTAATCCCAGCACTTGGGAGGCAGAGGCAGGCGGATCTCTATGAGTTCGAGGCCAGCCTGGTCTCCAAAGCGAGTTCCAGGAAAGGCGCAAAGCTACACAGAGAAACCCTGTCTCGAAAAAACCAAAAAAAAAAAAAAAAAAAAAAAAAAAAAAAAAGAAATCAAAAAGTACACATAAGAACAACAAATAATACAATCTTTAGTACAAGATATTCATCTAACAGAGGATCAATTCCAGGATATATAGAGAAATCAAAAAGTCACACACCAGAACAAAAAAATAATTCAATCAGTAAATGGGTAAATAAATTGAATACATACTTTTCAAATTAAGAAATATAAATGACCAATGAATTACATGAAAATATATTCCCCCATCAGGGAAGCACAAATCAAAAGAAAAGTGAGATTCTAGTTCAGCCCAGGCAGAAAAGAAAAGTTCATAGGTATGGGGCTTCCTGTACACACCACTGCAGGAACAGAAATCAATATGAAAATTCCTCAGAAAGTTCAACATGGAACTCCCACATAATTATAACTAACTCTGGGTATATACAGTTAAAATACCCCCAGACATGTTTATCACTACAGTACTTACAAAAGCTAAGTTATGGAATCAGCCAGGTGTCTAATGAAGGAACAGACAGAATGTGGCATGCACATACACACAGGAGAGTTTCTTTCGGTGATAAAGTGGTTGGAACTGTAGAATAGGTAAACTGTAAAATAAGTCATTGTCACAAGATGGGCATCACATGCTTTATCTCATCTATGGGATTTAGGGAAGAGTAAAGAACATGAAAGTAAAGTAAAAGTTGGACTACTACAGATGTGGAATGGAAAAGGGTAAGAAAAGGCAATAAAAAATTATGATCAAAGTACATTATATGCATATGTAAAAATGCTGTAATAAAAGCTCATAATATGAAATTAAGATATACCTAAAAAATAAATAATAACACATAAGATACAGCACATTCTGAAGTGAAACTATATAAAAAAAATTGACTGCACAAGGCTCACCAGGTAAAGATGCTTGCTGCCAAACTTGATGACCTAGTTTGGTGTACAGGATCATGTTGGAAAGAAAGAACTGATTCCCCCAAATTATCTTCTGGCCTCAACACCTGCCTTCGTGCACACACGCGCGCGCACACACACATACACAGCATAATAAAAAAGAAAATATACTCCAACTCAATTACAAAGAAATGCATCCAAAGTACAAACCTGTATAACTTCTACAATAGAACAGAAGCCATCCTCAATGAGTATTCATTTTATTTACAGATAGGGAAACCAAATGGAGAGGGTAGACCACTTTCAACCCTACAAAGCAATGGCAATATATATATATATATATATATATATATATATATATGAAAAATAATATGTATATGTTTCATATAAAGCAACCCATTAAGATCAGATTTTTTAAAAAAAAATCACAGAATCAGACAATACAGCTTCATAGTAGCTTTTAATATATCAGCACGGCATGCCAGGCTTTGCTGTTTGGCTCCTGGCTGTCTGCACATCCTTTTTTCTCTGACATCCCTGTATATCCTGTAGGTCTCTAAACACACTATTCTTTCTACAGCCTGAAATATGTCACCTAATGTTCTGTTATACATGAAATAGTTAAAATTCATCATATTTTAAGACTAAGTTCAAGCATAACCTCCTTTCTGAACAGTTTTCCTACTCCACTGAACTATTACACAATCTGTTTTTGTTCCTACATTTGTAGACAGCATAAAACTAATGTTATTTGTCAGCATGTCGCCTCTTATTTAGCAATTATCCACCAAAGCAAAATTTCTATCTCATTCTTTAAAAAAAGAAAACAATGTTTAATTTACATTTTTGTGTGTATATGTGTACATGCAAGTGCATGCTCACGTGTACAAACAGGCATGAATGATTTCCTTCCAACATGTACATTAAACTCAACATGTATTGAACTCAGGTTGTCTGGATTGGCAGCAAGCACTTGGTCATCTTGATAGCCTGCATTCATTCTTTTATGTCCTTTAACTAACAATGTATCTAGAAACATAGTAATAAGCAGAATAAGCAGGTGGTGAACGGCTGTATGTACAATTTCAATTTGCCCTTGCATATGAAGCAAATTATGAAACATTCTAGGAAATTGGAAAGTATCCTCCTTTCAACAATGCCTTCATTTACATACTTAAAATGCATGCTGGAAAACTAAGAAATGTAAATCTCACTCTAGATATTCAGAAGTAAAAAATAAGATAGTTTTTATGTATGGTTCACTCAGAAAAAAAACAAAAAAAACTATGAGTTCAATGTTTCTAAGTTTCATTACAGGCATCACACTAAGCTAAAAAAAAAAGTAAAAATCAGTAAAAATTTTGATGTATCATAAACTTTAAAACAGTATTATTTGTATAATATTTAAAAAAATTCATGTCATGTCATAATGTATAACAGATCTGATATAAAATAACCAAGTAAAAGTAACTACAGACTTAAGACTGACCATAGAAATAAACACATAATCCTTTACTTCCAAAAAGCTAACTTTAATTCTCTAAATTAATTTAAGACAGTTTCTTTGTATTTGTAACATTCTATATGATTTAAAAACTCTTAATAGTATTAATAGCAATAGTAGTAGTAATAGTAGCATTGGTAGTATTAATAGTGGCAATAGTACTAATAGCATTAATTAGCAGCAACAGTAGCTATAGTATTAATAGTAATACTAAGCCAAATAATGATATTTTCCACATATGGGGTGACATTTAATGCTTATACAAACCCTTTATCATTCTATTAGTATCCCCTTGAGATACAGAGCAAGAAAACTGGGCTTCTTAGAGAGTCTGTCACCTCAGTTCTCACAAACAATGAGTGGACGGGTATAAAAATCTGATTTCAAAGTCTCTGCCTTTTTTAAATAGTATGTTATATATCACCTAATCTTTTAGCAAACATGTTAGTCACTCAATTTGTCCAGTATTAAAAATGCTTTGATGCTGTAATTTATAAATGAAATGATGCCATACTGAGGACAAAACTAAAACCCCCATAATATACTTTCCATGTGGCTGTTCAGACTAATTCATCACTTTGACTAATATAACCAAATTACTGCAGAGAATGGAACTACAATAATGCTTTCCATCTTCTGACAGAAAAATAAAATTTAAAGGTAATCTCTTTATACTGTACAAATGGCTTAAACTATAAAGTGATGTGGCTGGGGAAATGGCCCAGCAGGTAAAGTACCTGCTGTCAGACATCAAGACCTGAATTTGTAAAAGCTAAGCACAGCAGCAGTGTCCCTAACTTCAGGGCTGGTGAGAAACAAGGGCACCAGTGTGTCATGGGGCCCTGCTGCCAACCAGTCTAACCCGAATGGATGAGCTCAAAGCTCAGTGAGTGTCTCAAATATAAGACAGAGAGTACAAGAGGACATCAATCTCTGCTCTCCACACATGCACATGGATCTTGATGGAGAAACTGTAATTACCTTTTTACTAAACCGACATAAATCCAAACAACAACAATCTAAATATGTACCCTTATGTCCACAGACTAGGTAAGTGTTGTTCTTATTCTTCATCAAAGAAACTTCTCTCTGCAATAGTGGGAGATCATTACAGAAAACCACAACTGATTAAAATGCAAAGTACGAGTAATCATGTGTTCACAGTCCCAACTGATAGATCTACAATACAATTCCTGCACCTAAGACTCAGGGATCATTGGGGAAGAGGGGGCAAGAAGACTGTAAAAAGCAGAAAAACAGGAAGTTGCTGTGAGACTATGTATTCTAGAAATGAGATGACACACCCATGAAGTATCTTCAACATAGCTGCCTAAAAGAGCCCTGAACAAGGATGACATGCTAACCTGAAAAAGGGGAAATCTCGTGGAGCCTCAATCCTAGACAAAGAACTACAGGCAACTAAAAATGCTGAAAGTCCCCAATTGTTTAGCTAATGAAATAATGTACATACAAGTAATATGTAGACTACGCAGTTGTGTGTGTGTGTGTGTGTGTGTGTGTGTGTGTGTGTGTGTGTGTGTGCAAAACAATTAAAGAAAAAGAGGCCATGAATTTGTGAGAGAGCAAGGGGAGGCAGAGTACATGGGAAAGACTAGAGAGAGGAAAAGGAAGAGGGAAATAATGTAATTATTTTGAAAAAAAATCTAGTCAGCCAATTAATTGATTCTCAATAGTTATTGTTTCAAGCAGAAATTGGTCAAAATTTTCCTTAATCAATGTCAATTAACATATAAATATTTCTAATACTCTGAGGATATTTTGTCGCACAATGCTTAGAAATACATAATGCTGTAAAAACAGTATAAACAGTTATTCCTAAAGCACCCACATAATTTCTCATTTAAATCTACATATTTCTCGGCGTAAAAGTATTAATTACTGCAGTGAAACAATACTTTTAAGTAAGAGTATCCCACTTTCACTACTCATTGCACTCAGTCTTCCTGAAAGAACCAACTGGAATAGTATATGTGCCTCCTACGTAAAAGCACTTAGCTAGAAATCTCAGTACCAGTGACAAATCAGAATGTTAAAGGGAGTACTTTTATGCTGGCTATGTTTAAAAGGTTATTCTTGGCTGAGTATGTACCTCAGTGTTAACGTATACATTTAATATGTATGTTCAAAGCTCTAGGTTCATGACCAATAGTGTAAGAAGAAATAAATTTTTAAAGAGCTTTTCATTAAGACAGTTCATGTTTATATACAACTTCAAAACTTCAACTGTACCTCATCCTGAAGTTCATCACCGCTTTTAACCGAAGCAAGCATGTCATATAAGGTACAGCAAAGATCTTCAATTCTCGGTGCTTCAGTCATTTCCTTTAAAGTTGCATTCAAGTACTTCTCAACTTCACACCACAAAAAGGAACCATTTGCTTTTTCCACTGGCTTGAGTTCAGGGGTGTAGTGCTCCTGAAAATGTTCATTCAGGAACTTCTTGTAGTCTAAGCTGATAGTTTTCTGGGCTTCACCATTTATTGGCAATTCATCAAAGTGGTCCAGATCATGCATGTCAAAGGAAAATGCTAAGTTTTTACCAAAAACCACTACATCACTACATTCATTTTCTGCCATCTGGACAAGAGCAGTCAGATCATCCTGACTAAAATGAGAAATAATTCGATTAGTGGCATTACAAGCTGCAGTAGCAGATGACGATGGAAAGGGACCAAACATCTGTCTGATGGCTTTTGTCTCCGTGTAACCAACAGAGTCCGTCAAGTGAAATGTCATAAAGAGAAATGCAGCTCCACTTTCAATTGCTTCTCTCCCATTATCTGTTCCAACTATCCAAAGACAAAAACAAGAAAAAAGTATTAGCTCAATTGAATCATCCATCATCCAACTTGATGTTTAAAAAAAAAAAAAAATCCTTCCACTTTTTGAGTTAAATCAATTTAGGACCAAAAAAGTCCATTCCCAAGTTCCCAAAGAACTATGTTTGATCAACAAAGAGCATTTTGTAGTCTATATTAAATACAGAAGCTATATAATAAAAACCCTTGCCTCTTTCTAAAAATCAACTATGAATTAAAATTTATTTAAAAATAAACAATAATTTGATGATAAACTATAGTAAGATTTTAAACTCAGAATTACAGACATGAAATTCAAAGGAAACCTCACATACTCATAGCTTTCTTCCCAATTTGTACAACAGACTTACATAACAAGAAATAATTGCGTATGAATCTAAACAACTCTCATCCAAAAACATTTCATACCACCAGGATATGTGTGAATTTACCATACTTTAAAATATGAAAGGATGCTATGTTAAAGAAGAAGGAAAACCTCACAGAGGCAAATGATCAGATGCTATTCTTAAAGCATTGACTTCCCATAAACAATTATCTTAAATAAAAAGAGAAAACCAGCCGGGCGGTGGTGGCGCACGCCTTTAATCCCAGCACTTGGGAGGCAGAGCCAGGTGGATCTCTGTGAGTTCGAGGCCAGCCTGGGCTACCAAGTGAGTTCCAGGAAAGGCGCAAAGCTACACAGAGAAACCCTGTCTCGAAAAACCAAAAAAAAAAAAAAGAGAAAACGATTGAATTTCAAAAAATTTCAGAGAATATTCTTATAGCAGGGAATTAAAAAATAAGAATTTAAATCTTCAATAAGCCCTAAACTTGTCAATACAAGGAACATCTGAATCTTCCTAAAAGCCTAGTTCAAATCATCCTTCAAAATACTGAACAGTTTGGATAACTAGATCTAAATTCTTACAGAAGCATGAACTGACCCCATCTTTTACTGTTTGTTTTCCTCCAGCCCTGCTATCTAGTACACATTTTCTACTCTAATCAAAAACAGACGTCTTAATATTCAGGAGTAGGTCCCTGCCAGATACCATGGAATCCATTAAGCTAAGAAAGCTGAGGCACGAGGATCACCTGAGTCCAGAACTGACTAGCCTACACAACATAGCATGATCTTATGCCCCCAAAATAAAATTCCCAAAGTTGTTATTTAAATAGAAAATAAAACAAAAATATAATAAAAATAAAAAACCAGCCAGGTTCTATTTTGTCTATTTTCACATCCTTACTTATCATTCCCTGGAGTCCCGATTGTTCAAATCCTATTCATTTTTCAATTCCAGCTCTTAGCTCCATCTTCCAAGGAGAGCAACACTGTGCTTAATTCTGTATTTTCTGACTCTACTTGTCCCAGGTGGATAGCTCAACAAGGAATAGTTGACTTAAATCCTGCCCACATAGACACCAAACTAGTTATTCCTAGACTAGATCACAAGGTGAAAGTAAATGTTTAAATGTAACTTACAAGTTTAGAATGTCAATAGCATATGTGTGAGTAAGCAATTTCACCATGTTAATCCCAATGCTTTTCAAGTATGACTCTATAATTTGCAGAACACTGTTGTATACATGTTTTACTGGTATTTAAGAAAACATGACTAATTTTTTTTTAAGTTATACTGTGCTTGTAAACCAACAAGTTCTCTGCATATATTTTTCTTCTCTTATGGGCACTACTTAGAGATTTGGGTTTTAGATATTTCTATAGGTAATTTAACAAAGTTGGTACTGTTAATATTAAACTCTAAACATAAAAAGGAATTCATGACACTGGAGAGATGGCTCAGCAATTAAGAGCAATGACTGCTCTTGCAGAAGATCCACTTTTGATTTCCAGCACCCACATGAAGCTCACAACATCCCTAACTTCACTTCCATGGCACTCACCACCCTCTTCTGGTCTACATGCACATGTTGCACAAACACTTAGATACGTAAGACACCCACACACATAAAACAAAGTTTTAAATTATTTTAATGGAATTCATGCCTATATCCAACATTACAGCACATAACATTTCTTTATAAAAACAATTTATTCAAACTTCTTCATTAAGTTATCTTACTTTGTTCTTTAAAAAAAAACTCCTTGTTCCCACTGTACTAGGTTCCCTGTAAGTTCCTAAAAAGTCGATGTTTCTCCTGAGAAGCTTTTGTAGAGCAAAGGATAGGTCAACAAGGCAAAGCGACATCCTACAGAATAGGAAAAGATCTTCACCAACCCCACATCTGACAGAGGTCTGATATCCAGAATATATAAAGAACTCAAGAAATTAGACATCAAAATGCCCAACAGTCCAATTAAGAAATGGGCTATAGAACTAAACAGAATTCTCAACACAGGAAACTCAAATGGCTGAAAGACATTTAAGGAATTGCTCAACATCCCTAATTATCAGGGAAATGCAAATCAAAACAACTCTGAGATACCACCTTACACCTGTCAGAATGGCTAAGATCAAAAACACTGAAGACACCTTATGCTGGAGAAGATGTGGAGCTATGGCAACTCTCCTCCACTGCTGGTGGGAATGCAAGCTTGTACAAACACTTTGGAAATCAATATGGCGCTTTCTTAGAAAATTGGGAATCAATCTCCCCCAAGATCCAGCTATATCACTCTTGGGCATATTCCCAAGGAATGCTCAATCATACCACAAGGGCACTTGCTCAGCTATGTTCATATCAGCATTGTTTGTAATAGCCAGAACCTGGAAACAACCTAGATGCCCTTCAACTGAAGAATGGATAAATAAAATGTGGTACATATACACAATGGAATACTACTCAGCAGAGAAAAACAATGACATCATGAGCTTTGCAGACAAATGGATGGATCTAGAAAAAATGATCCTGAGTGAGGTAACGCAGACTCAGAAAGACAATCATGGTATGTACTCACTCAGAGGAGGATACTAGATGTGCAACAAGGATGACTGGACTGCTACTCACATCACTAGGGAGGCTACCTGGAAAACAGGACCCCAAGAAAGACACGGGGATCGGCCAATGACAGAGAAATGGATGAGATCTACATGAACACCATGGACGTGATTAGGGGTAATGAAGGGCAAGGATCAAGAGAAAGAGAGCTTAGAGGAGCGGGAGATCCCAGCTGGATCAAGAACAGAGGAGAACAAGGAATAAAAGACCATGATAAATGAAGACCACATGAGAATAGGAAGAAGCAAAGTGCCAGAGAGGTCCACAGAAATCCACAAAGACACCCCCACAATAGACTACTGGCAATGGTCGAGAGACAGCCCAAACTGACCTACTCTGGTGATAGGATGGCCAAACACCCTAATTGTCGTGCTAGAAACCCCATCCAATGACTGAGGGAACCGGATGCAGAGATCCACGGCCAGGCCCCAGGTGGAGCTCCAGGAGTCCAATTGGCGAGAAAGAGGAGGGTTTGTATGAGCGAGAATTGTTGAGACCAAGGTTGGAAAAAGCACAGGGACAAATAGCCAAACGAATGGAAACACATGAACTATGAACCAATAGCTGAGGAGCCCCCAACTGGATCAGGCCCTCTGGATAAGTGAGACAGTTAATTAGCTTGATCTGTTTGGGAGGCATCCAGGCAGTGGGACCCGGTCCTGTACTCAGTGCATGAGTTGGCTGTTTGAAACCTGGGACTTATACAGGGACACCTGGCTCAGCCTGGGAGGAGGGGACTGGACCTGCCTGGACTGAATCTACCAGGTGGAACTCAATCCCCAGGGGAGTCTTTGCCATGGAGGACATGGGAATGGGGGGTGGGCTGGGAGGAAGGCCGGGGGGGGGGGGGGGGGGAACGACACAAGGGAATCTGTGGCTGATATGTAGAATTAAATTAAATTATAAAATAAAAAAAAGAAATAACATAAAAAAAGTCGATGCTTCTCTAATTCTTGTTTACTAAATAAATCTTAATATAAATAAATCACTTTAGAATAGATGGAAGAAACATGTTACATTACTAAAAGTGGAATTAACTTAATTTACCAATAATAGGTAAGTTACTGGTAAAGTTATGGTACAACCTTGGTATAATATGGAGAAATCGTGCATATTATTGTCTTAGTGTTATATTGCTGTGAAGAGTCACCATGACCATGGCAACTTCTATAAAAGAAAGCATTTAACATGGTGGGAAGCATGGCAGCATGCAGATTGGTGCTGGAACAATAGTTAAGAGCTACATTCTGATCAATCTTGATCAGTAGCAAAGAGAGAGGGAGAGATAAAGAGACAGAGAGACTGACTGACTCTGGGCTTGGCATGGGCTTTTGAAACCTCAGAGCCCATCCCCAGGGACACACTTCCTACAAGGCCACACTGGCTAATATTTTCAAATAGTGCCACTCCCTGGTGATCAAGTATTCAAATCTATGAGTCTATAGAGGCTATTCTTATTCAAACCATCAAGGTCATCAAAAAAAATATTAACATGTATGCTAAGCAGGAGAAAAATCCATGAGTCAACATTCAACAGAAAAATGAACACAGATCAAATGCATTTTTTTCAAAATTTCAAATACAACTGACTTATGTCTACAAAGTTTCAAAATTAACAATTACTTTAAAACTTTAAACTTAGCTTGGGCATGGTGTTTCATAAATGTCAATACCACTACCTTGTTGTAGGTATTCATTCTGTCAATAGCTTTGGAGTAACAGCCTTATGCTGTGGTCTCTTGGCAGGTTATATGACTGCTTTAAAATCTGAGGAGTGCTTGGTCACTCTCTCTTGCGGTGATCAGAAACCAGACAGCAGGATCCATTTGCTCCCGGGCAGAATGGAGGTCAAAGACTGCTGTTTACTTGGTTCTGTATCCATGAGTGTATTTTCCCTATTTTATATCTTAATAAATCCTTGATACCCTTTTAACAGACTCTTGTTACTTCCCTTACAAATGGTGCCCAGATGAACACACCCCACAGGCTCCTACTAAGGCTACTTTTGCATGGCTTCCAGCCAC